TATTTACAGAAGGTGGTGGTGGTGTGCTATTGACTCAATCCCTACTTAATTCGCTTTAAAATGAAGCGGTTCATGTAAACACCCTCCCACCCCCCACCCACCCCTCACTCCCCAGATATTTGCATGACTGGTTTCTCCAATCCACGCCACTCAGGTCTCTCTTCAAAGGTCACCTCCTCAGACAGGTCTCTCTTGAATTCACTATGTAATATGGTCCCTCAGAGGGCCTGTGTGTCAGGCCAGGGTTGACGCTGGCTTGGGCCTAGGACCATGGAAAAAAACAACAGGTAAGGACGTTTACAATCTTGGGGAAGGAAGGGGTGGCTGACAAAACAGACAAATAGATACACATCAGCAGAGGGTGGTGGGGATTCCGGGCAGAGGGAATAAGCAAGTCTTGTTGAGATAGGTGAAGTGGGAGATACGGAGGGCAAGGCTGAGAGAGGGAGGCAGGGAGCCGGCTTCTGCAGGAATTGGTGGGTCGTGATGAGATGCTTAGATTTCTTTTTTGAGGCGTTTTATTGTGAGCTATTATAGATATCACAACATTCCATAGTTCAATCACATCATCAACATGAAGCAGGTATTCAAACGCATGCTGAAGAGAATTGCCGGAGACACTGCTCAGACACATGGTGAGTTTCTGTACAACCAAGGGAAGACGTGGCTCAGTCCTGGGTCATCCTCACTATCGGTGACAGGTTTAATTATATTTCCATGGCTGTCCTGCCAGTCTGTCTCACCAAGGGCCTCCGATGCCCTGTGTTTCATGCAATATGATGCCCTCCAGTGGTGATTCCTCCTGATGATGTATGTGCCCAAGGCAAGTAGGTCAAACCACATTCTGTGGGGATTTATAAGGGTTTCGATGACTCTCAGTAGATTTCCAGGTCTTTCTTCCTTCTCTTAGTTTGGAACGTCAGCGGAAGCATATTCACCACGGGTGACTCTGCTGGTATCTGCAATACTAATGCTATCGCTTCCAGCATCAGAGTAATATGCAAGCCACCACACTAGGACAGACAGTGGTAATACTCAGTAATTGGAAACAAGGTGGGAAGTACGATGTATGAAGATTCCTGCTAGAACCACAAACCACAAAGCTAACTGCTCCGAAGCGTTGGATTGTGACTGATTGAGCCCAAGGCAGTATGAGGGGAAGGGCCGAGGCTCCCTGTGAGCCTTACAAAGTGATTGAATGGCCCGAGTGAGTATTCTTTCTCTCATCACCCTCAGTCTCCTGCCCAGCTAGACTTTGTAATAGGTAACAACTTTCTCTCTCACTAGAACACTGAGCTCCATACTAGCACAGATGCACAATGAATAGTTGAGTGGCTGAAGAAATAAAGGGATTTTAGTTTCAACTGAAAAGGGTCTAACTATTTTATTGAAAAGAATAAAAACATAGCCCACAAAGTTTTCGGCTTTTCCCATTGTCATTTCTTAAATTAATGCCTTCTATATCTTCAGGCATTAATGTGCTATTTTGCTTCCACATCTTTAAATGGTCATTGCAATGCTATTTTTGTTATTTAAAAATAATATTTTTGAGAGGGTCATAATTTACTGAAACTGCTGCCATTTCCTTGTGATTTTGTACAGTATTCACCGCTTAAATATTTTTAATAGCTACAACTTCACCAAAAACAAGGCTCCAGACATTGATGGAAGACCCATTGAAACGGTCAGAAAGCTGAAGAAGTACTGGAAGACTCACTCGTCTATGCCAGGAAATTTGGAAGGCTGCTACTGAACAACCGACTGGAAGAGACCCATGTTTGTGTCTACTCCAAAGAAAGGCGACCCAATAGAATACTCAAACTAAAGAACACTATCATTGGCATTGCACGCAAGTAAATTTTGCTTAAGATCATCTAACAAAGGTTGACAGGAAACGGCCAGTTCAGGCCAGCTTCAGAAGAGGACATGGACCAAGGGATAGCACAGCTGATGTCAGATAGAGCTTGGCTGGAAACAGATGTTAACTCGTTTCATTGACTGTGCAAAGGCATTCGACTGTGTAGACCAACGGTTCTGAACCTGTGGGTCGTGACTCCTTTGGGGGTCAAACAACCCTTTCACAGGGGTTGCCCGATTCATAACAGGAGCAAAATGACAGTAATGAAGTAGCAATAAAAATAAGTTTATGGTTGGTTGGGGGGGGTCACCACAACATGAGGAACTGTATTAAAGGGTCGCGGCATCAGGAAGGTTGAGAACCATGGGTGTAGATGATAAGCTATGGGTCACCTTGAGAATGGGAATTACAGAACACTTCATTGTGCTTATGCAGAACCTGTACATGAATCGAGGCAGTTGTGCAAACAGAACAAAGGAATACTGTATAGTTTAAAATCAGGAAAGGTCTGTCAAAGTTGTATCCTGTCAACATGTGTTCAATCTGTATGCGGAGCAAATCATCAAAGAAGCTGCATTAGTGATGAAACACGGGGCATCAGGATTGGAGGAAGGCTCATTAACAAGCTGCAGTATGCAGATGACAACACCTTGCTAGCGGAAGTGAGGGCTTGAAGCACTTGCTGATGAAGGTCAAAGATTGTAGCCGTCAGGGTGGATTACAACTAATGTAAGGAAAACTAAGACCCTCACAACTAGACCAGCAGGTAACTTCACGATAAATAAAAGGTTGAAGTTGTCCAAGATATTGTTACTTGGATCCACAATCAATGTTCATGGAAGCAGCAATCAAGAAATCAAAAGATGCCTCGCATTAGGTAAATCTGCTGTACAAGACCTCTTCAGTATTTAATAAGGATGTTACTTCGAAGACTAAGGTGACCTCACACAGCCGTGGTATTCTCAAGGATGTCAAAGTTGGGCATGGAAAAGGGAAGACTATAGAAGAATCAATGCATTTGAACTGTAGTGAAAATTCAAAGTACCATTGACTGCTAAAAGGACAAATGGATCTATATTGGAAGAAGTCCAAAGTGCTCCTTAAAGGCAAGGACGGCAAGACTTTTGTCTTACATACTTCGGACATACTGTCAGACCAGGCCCTGGAAAAAGACTTCGTGTTTGGTAAAGTGGAGGGGCGGTGCAAGATAAGGCCCCTGACGAGGTGGATTGATGCAGAGGCTGGATCAACGGGCTCGGGCGTAGGAACAATTGTGAGGATGGCACAAGACAGTGCGGCCTTTTCTCTGTTGTACTTAACACAACCTCACTATTTCTAATTTTGTGATACAAAGTAACCCATTAGGTAGAAAGTGCTATTGTGCTTAAGGCAATTTAAAGGAACAGTAATACCAATGAACCAATCTTTTAATAGCAAGAATGGCATTTCAATGAGTGTTTAAAGATATGGAAACAAAACGGCATGTTAATGACTTCAGACATGGAAGGAATTAATAGAAGAGCACGGTTATGATTTTGAGGACTAAAATGGCCTGCAACAGCCCACGGAGTTTTCCATCACTTCCATGCAAGTGACAGCTGGCACAGTCTAAGAACACGGCAGAAGAACTACGCATTAAGGACATCATGTTTCAAAGAGGGTTGGTGAGAGAAGACCCTTCGTGAGACGGAATGACAGACACTGTGCCTGCAGCCAGGGACTCAAACATCGAGAACCAGGCTGGCACGGGACCGGGCAGGGTTCCCTTCTGTTGGACACAGGGTCACAACGAGCGAGGTGGAACCAGCTAAATGGTGCCTAACAAGATCTATAAATAGGAAAAAGAAGATAACTTGAACTACTTTACTACTTAAATAGCAAATTGGGAGCAAAAAGTGAATGCAGGAAGAAAAATAATTAGAACTGATAATGATGATGTATACATAATTCTTTTTAAAAAGCAATTTAATTATGGAAGTATATGATATGGGAATCATATCAAGAATACTGTTTAAAAAAACAACCTCTGGTTACCTTGGGTGAAGGAGGAAGAGTTAGAGGGCATTGAGTTTATGTAAATGGTGGAATAATTTGGAAAAGGCTATCAATATTGGTTGTACAACACAAATATTATCAATGGCATTGAATCATATATGTAGAAGTTGTTAGAGAATGTGTTGTTGTGCATATTTTTGCCACAATAAGAAAAAACAATTACACGAGTAACAATGAATACAAGGGAGAAGAAAATGTTCTAAAATTGATTATGGTAATTGATTATACTTTTCTTGATATGACTGAACTATTGAATTTTATATGTGAAGTGCCAATAAAACAAAAAAGAAACCACAATCTTATGTTTTGTTTCATTCATCTAGATGGGCTTATCACTCTCATGAAATAAAAATATGAGAGATCTAAACAAGGATTACAGCCTCAGAACCCCCTAGGAGCAGTTCTCTCCTGCCCTGCAGGGCTGCCGAGTGCGAATCAACTACATGACAGGGACCGAGGTGTGGGTTGGGAGGTGCCCTTATCCCTGATGCAATTTGAAGGAACCAAGGCAAAGGGCAGTTAGGTGACCTGTCTGAAGCTACACAGTTCTAAGACTTGAGACTCCAGCCTGGCTAATGTGGCTCTAACAACCATGCTCTCTCTTAAAAAGACACAGTTGTTTTTCCTGCAGCTGTACCTTATTAAAACCAAAGCCAAACACAGAAATTTAGAGATTCATTACTGTAACCATCAGACAACACTTATACATACATATTACTTTATTTTTCACACATCTTTCAGAAACACATCTATTTTGGAGTTTTGTGATATTTTTTCCCCAAAGCAGAGAGCTTAGTAGAAATTTCGTTTAAATGACCTGTACAAAATTAAATAAATCAATGAGGTCATCTATTGAAAATGTTATTTTAAGTCTATTTTGGGTATTATATTTATTTCACATTAATGTTTAAAAAGAAAGAATACACTTTGCCATTACTAAAAACCATGCCCAGACACAAATAATTTTTGAAGTTCTAGTTAAATGACCTTGTTTGTTCATATTTAACCCCTAGTGAACCTCGCAAACTTTGAAGTTAGCAAAATTTAGGATCATAGAAAGTAATAAAAATCAGACTGTTAACAGTTAGAAAATGCATAAACATCCATTTATTCAGGAAATACAATTACTAGTATCCTTGATATTTCAATGATCTTTCCAGATTATAAATTATTCACAACATGGATTCTCTTACATGCTGACATTCTTCTCAGGTAAGTCATAAGCATTTCTTCTATTAAATGCTATGTCCATTTTATCTGTAAACAAGGTACTTGAGCCAAACTACTTAAGTGCTTGAGCAAAATGACTTTACAGATTTAGAAGAGGACAATTAAAAAAAAAAACTCTGAGTCATCAAACCTCCAAAGAACTTGGCCACCGCACTCTAGTATTATACTAATGAATAAAGTGGCCAGTTAAGAAAGCACATAATTATCAATGACATTATTCTTCAGCTGTACTTTTAAACAAGCTTCCTCAAATAATGAACATTTCTATTTGCAGGTTTTAAAGATTAAGAGGGCAGAAAAAGGACAGATATTAAAAATTTACATTCAAACCGGCTGGCAAACTGTACTTTTTAAAAAGGTAGACTGCAATTACTTTTCAGATAAGGAATGCCAAATGCTCTTTATTCCTTGAAAAACTAAGAAATAAAAGCCATCATTAAATAGCTGCAACTGAATTTGTTCAAAGCAGGGCCCAGTGTGATCAGAACATTTTTGACAGGAGAAATTACTGAATCTCAACTCTGAGTGCCCACCAGGACCACCTGGAAAACTTGGCCCCACCCCGGGATGGGACCCAGGTATTGTTTTTTAAAGTTCAGCAGTGTTCTAATATGCAACTACAGCTGAAAGCTAAGGAGTCAACTCATTTTGAAATACAAAGAAAATAAATGGAAATTGGGTATGAAAGGTAACTTATACGTATTTGTAACTTATAAATCTAACATTATCCATTGATAATGTGCCAAGTTATGTTCACAAATGATACATTTATAGGATGAAAATTCCATTCATTTTCTTGCTATACTATACCACTACTGTACATCTTTGCCAGTGAATAATTGGATTTTCCTAAGTTAGGATTTAAAATTCTGGGACACAGTGAAAATTATATTAATGCAAACAAACTACTGCTACTCATGCTTATACAGTAGCAAGTAAAATTACTGTATTTGGCTCCTTTAAACTATCCTCATTTTAAGAATTATAAATAGTGCCAACCCACACAGAGAACAGATTGTGGATTACTGTGGAAAGAAGGGGGGAAAACTTACTCAGCTTTCTAAGTTTCAACACCAAAAAAGATTTAACTTGGCTGAAAGTTCTCAAAGAGCTGATATTGAACCAGGAAGCTATAATTTATAATGAAATGTTGACACACCCTTAAAAACTACTGCAGCTGGATATAGCTATACTAAAATAAGATTTCTTCAGGGCTTACTTACCCGTGTAATGCAAGAATACAAGCATAACAATAATATTACTGGTTATGTGCAATGATACCTCGCTTTAATATGTAAACGTCTACAACAAATATCTCTAAAAATTTTACAATTAAAATAAGTCCATAATTCTACTACACTACTTTAGTCTCAACATTTTACAAACATTAATTAATTTGGAAAATATACAAGCTAACAGCACAATCCTATCAACAGCAAGCACAGTTTGGGGTGAACAAGACATTCAATCATGCAATCCAGTGTTCAATTCCTAAGCGATAAATAACAATGCTGATTGACTTTTGCTTAGTAAATCATTGAAAACTGGAACAATCATTTAAGACTCACAATCATGCAGGAAAAGGTACACATTTCTTTCTTGAAGGAATGTTACAAAATGCCCATTTTACACAGGGTAGATAATTTTGCCAAATCTCATACAGTTCAACCCATTAACTTCTTTCTAGTATCCATCACTTTAAATTTTTTTAATGGTACAAATTTTCCTATGCAAGTAAAAATGAAACTCACCTATTTCAGCCTTAAAAGACCTCACAGTCATACACTTAACAACTGCCTTGCAGTACAACAGTGCCATCCAATGGACAAATGAAATAAAGTAACCCCTCAAAATAATCCTCATGGTACTTGAATTGTAAACAAAGACCACATTTCTAAATCTGGCAATTTTAATATGAATGAGTTTCTACTCATGTTGACAAGGAGCCAGAGGATTATGAATTAATCACCTCATAATTTCTACACACCATAAACATACTTTCTATCTTCTTCCTATTTAAAATCAACTATGTAAATTAGGCTGGTAAAGATAATGTAATTCTTGAGACTGAGGTTGAAGGAATTACTTTTTTTTTCCGACCACTATTCCTTACCCAAACTAACTTGCTCATCACTAAGAATGAAACCATCAAAAAATAGGAAGTCTATTTAAATAAAAATGAGTAGCATTAAAAAATTTGCAAACAGTGAAATCTGAACTTGTTTATGCATTTATAATTTATGATATTATCATTGAATATAAATAGATAGAAAGGGATGTAATCAGGAACGCTAACAATCAAATTACATCCTCTTACCTCGCTGCTCTAATATTATGAAAGAATACCTATTTTAGCAATGATTGTTTCAGTGTTTAAAAACTCACTTTTATAAATCAGTATAAATGAACATTCATTATACATTATGTTTAAATAAAAGTAAAAAACTTTGACTGTGCTGAGTAATGATTTATTGTTGATTACCGAGATTAAGTGTTCAAAAGTACAAAATGTAGCAGTGATGCCAACATTGACAGTGTACTGAACTGCTGTAGCTGAGACTTTATGTCTAATTTCTTGGAAAACTGTAAAGAAATGTCACAGGTTAAGAAAAAATAAAGCCAAAAAAAAAAAAGAATTGGAGAATTGTTATTTTTAAATAAGCAGCCAAATGAAAGCTTTTTTTAAAAAAAGATTAAGAATGTAAAAGTACATTTTAATATTAAAAAAGCATTTAAAAAATCTATAACAGCTTTATGACAAAAATCTGCATTTGGAAAAAGGCCTGTAAAAACAGCAGGACAGAAATGCCCTCAACACCCAATTACTTTTTCTTGTCAGAAAAAAGTGTATGCATCTCGGGAACCGTAAATGATGTTCAAAGAGGCATTTATAAAATGGCAAGGAGTCGTCAGCGGAAGTTTCTCTTCGTTTTGTACAATCACTGGCGTTGCGGCCCTCAGTAGGTAGGTCACAAGCAACACTTCTCAAGCTAAAAGCGAAGTGAACTACACAGTTCTGAACAGCGTTAAGTCTGTTGCCTGCGCTTTGCTGATCTCATTTTCTCAAAGCGTGACTCCATTTCTTCTAGGACCTTGGGTGTGTATCGCACTACTAGCTTAACCTTCCCTTGGGCTGCTTTCAGCAGTTCTACGGCTTTTTCATGATGTTCTCCTTCAACACTCTAGGAAAAAACACACACACGCGAAATTAAGATGTAGGTTTGGTAAGCAACTCAAAAAGCCAAAGGTTTCATATTCTTTCTAGTGGTAATTAGTCTATCAATCTACATAGCCTACTTAGTTCACTAAATCAGAAGTAAACAATTGTCATTTATTCTGAAAGGCTAAAATGATAGTTTCTACTTGAATGCACATTACTTTAACTAGTAAAAAGCTTAATTACTTTATAAAAACCATACTAATCATTGGTAACTTACACCGCAACGACTCAAAAAACACTCTCAAATGCACCCCCAAGTGGTCACAACACGCCACTAGACATAGCAATAAAATCCTTACCACTCCATTAACAGAAAGCAGCTGATCTCCTCGTTTGAGGCCTCCATGTCTATCAGCAATCCCCCCTGGGATTATCCGCGATATGTAGATGGGAGAGTTTTGTTCTTTGCCTCCCATGATATTGAATCCAAGGCCCTCTTCTGTTTTGGGCAGTTCAACCACTCGAGGATGAGAATGTCCCTCACTGGCGGCAAAAGCAGCAACAGTAGCCTGAAAGAAAATTTACCATCTTTGTTTACTTCAGTTCTTGTCTCTTAAAAAACAACTTAACTTGAGGGATCTTAGTTTTGACCCTTCAATGGCCCCTTTTTAAAAAGGGGCCCTGGAAAGAATAACTTGGGATTACATAGGAAACACTAAGATTTCTCAGGCCATTTCTAGCCCCTCCGGGGACTAGAACTGCTGCTGCACAACCCTGTGCGGTCCCTGGCGAGCAGCCTTTGAGAGAGGATGAGCACTGTGCCCCTGGGAGAGCTCCTGTCCCCAGCAGCTGCGGCTTTGAGCTGGAGAGGCTACTCCGTACACTACAATTAACTAGGTGGTCAAGGAATAACTCCATACCGAGGGAGGTCAAAGTGAACGCTTTTTTGTGGCTAGATCAAATTACCCAGTTATTACTAAACTACCACAGAGAATGAAACAGAGCCAAGTCTCTTATCAAACTTTTAAATTTAGACTATTCTAACACAACCTTGTAATTTGTCTATTTTAACATATTTATTTTATATAATCATTTTGTACTGTAAATTCAGAGGTTTACTACTAATCAAACCCCTTCCCGCGCTCCTTGATTCCCTTCCCTCTTGTGGACACCCAAGTTGACACCCAGCACCAGTCCTGCCCGCTGCTTTCTGTCCTCCCTGCCCAGCGCCAGAGTTCCTTGGACATGAAAGTCTTTGTTTTTCCCTGTAACAGTGGTCTATTTCTCCTTTGGCGGTTAACTAATTTTAACTTACCATATACACTTGTGTATAAGCCGAGTTTTTCAGCACATTTTTAATGTAGCTTTTGTGGTAAAATTAGGTCCCTCGGCTGATATTCAGATTGGCTTACACTCGAGTATATACGGCATTTTCCAAGGTGATTAAGTAAAGGACACCATATTGGTTACGGATCACAATGAGCGAACACAAGGGGAACCCCCAAATTTGCCGAAACTCACTCTGCTGCAAAGTTTAAGCAAAGTCTCATTTTCCCACTAATGGAACTCTGGCTGAGGAAGTCTGCAATCTGTGAAGGTCATATAACTCAAGAATTAGACTCAAACAATTTTTTCTGACTCAACTTTTATTGGCAAATGACAAATCATACAACCCAGTAATTGCGGCACCTCAGTAAGAGCTGTACAAGCAGGAGCACCATCAGTTTTAGAAGACTCTCCATTCTGTGCTCATCATTATTTAGCTCCCCATTTCCCCCCGCCATACCTCCAAGGAACCATCATCAGCACAGTGATTGTCGCCATAGATTCACCTATTCTGTTTATTTCATATACAGAAAACATTAATAGGAACAGCTAACAATAACAAAGCAAAACAGATAAAAACCCCAACCAAAAATAAAGCAGAAAATATTAGAAACTAGAACAAATGGAAATGGATTATTAGGGAGAGCAAATGACAGGGTGCCACATTTCAACCTGACTACATCAGCAATTATCCCTGGTCCATGGTCAAAGGGGGTTCCCCTGGGGCTTAATCTGTGTTATTTCCTTCACTTAAAAAAAACTGCAACAGCTTTAAAATGAGACTTCTGCGATCTTTTTTTCTCTAACCTACAACCATGTACTCTCTCTATATATATTTAACAGAGAATACAGTATTTCCTTTGGTGAATTAATGGGAAATAGGGTTCTTTCTTATGTTAATGAAACAATGCCAGCTCCACATGGGATGTATCCTAAATCCAATCACACCTGACATATTAAAAAGAAAAACAAAGCAGATTATCTAGACAGAGATATGTGCACACACCAGGGAAGGCACATGCCAAGGACACATGGGACTACCAACAAGGAAGCAGTCACAGGGCCCTGGCCCTGAATCGGGCTTTTGGCCTCCAGAACCATGAGAAAATGATGTACATGCGGGAATAGCAGCAAGAGCTAACAGGCTAACCCACTGCCATGGAGTCGGTTCGGCACACAGTGATCCTGTACGGATAGAGTAGAACAGTCCTATAGGGTTTCCAAAGACTGTGAATCCTTAAGGAAGTTGAATGGCAAATCTTTCTCCAAAGAGCAGCTGGTGGGTTTGAATCACCAACTTTCTGGGTGGCAGTTGAGCACTTTGACTACTGAGCCCAGAGTTCCTTAATTAAGACATTTCCAATGAAAAATCAGCTGCTAACGACTAGGAATCAGAATTTGATGACAGAGGGTAAATTCTACCATAAGTCACCTCTTGCTGATAGATCACTTAATGAACATTGAGGTAGATGCTGAATTATTTGAGAACCCCTCCCCTAAAATCTTACTGCCATCAATCATTTCCCACTCAGAGCGACCTCACTGGTCCAGAGCACAGCTGCCCCACAGGATTTCCACGTCCAATCTTCCTGGAAGCACGGCCACAGCTATCTCACCGGCGCTTGCGAGCTGCCAACCTTTTGGCTGGCCTTGGCTACCGAGCTCTTTCCAAATGTAGTCTCTTAATTCCTTTGAGGAAACAGTGGTGCAGAAAACCACACAAAACCTGCCACGTGCAGCTTGGGTGAGGCAATCTGCTGCTGCCATTACACCACACTGCAGTTAAAAGTAAAGGAGAAAGACAGGCTTTGGAGAAAGAGCAGCCAGGGGGAGTATCCCAAGCCCACCAGTTACTTTTTGTGGATAGAGGCAAGTAACCCAATCTTGTTTGTCAGTTATCCTCATCAACGAAATAGAGGTAATAATCTATACCTCAAAACGTTGATTTACCACCCAAGAGAGGTGTCAACTAAGTCCACATGAAAGAAGCACACCAGCCTGTGTGATCCAAGGACTGTAAATAATAAAATCCAAATCCAAAGAAGGGAATGAATGGTATCTGAGCTTAAATGGTGTACACCTGGGTTACAGAAGGTTACATATGGCAGTAGACATTCAAATGCATTTATAGGGTCCCCACATCTATTAATTCTCTGGTGAATCCTGACTAGAGTCCAGGGATGCGAATAGGCTTGCTATCAGATAGGAAGCAGTATAAAACCAATTATGGCAGATATAGTTAGGTTAAAATCTAATACTTTATTATTTGATCTCCCCATTGACCTGCTTTAAAGTTGCTTCAGTTTTTAATATTTTCTTTTTGATTGCAGTTGTTTTGTTTAGTCCTCTTTTTGGGTCATATTTGATTCCTGTTTGTGTTTTGTATGTATGATTTCCTGTATATAAAATTCAGGATAGGTAGATCTATAGAGAATAAATGGATTAGTAACTGCCTAGGGACAAGGCAGGGGAGGATTGGTGCGTGGGGGCGGGGGGCGGGGAGCTAGTAACACTGAATACCAGAAGAAAATGTTCTAAAATCGATTGTGGTAATAAATGCACAAGTTTTCTTAATAAGACTGAATGATTAAATTGTATGTGAGGTAAATAAAAATTTAAAAAACTATTAAAAACAAAACAAAAGCCACGAGTATGAAAAAGAAAATATTCTGAAATTGATTTACAACTCTTCTTAATATGATTGGACTATTATGCCACAAACTATTGAAGAACTCTGATTTAAATTTGCACAATTCTAGATGTATACTACATAACACAATCATGTTTAATACAGATTATCTCTTGCATGCAAGTAAATTTTAATGTATCATCTAAACTTAATAAAATCTCCAACAGAAATAAATATTTTAAATGTCTCATCTATTATAAGTACTTGAGAAGTCTAGTGCAGCTTGAAAGATATTTGTGTTACTTTTCAGAATAAACCTGTTATAAATCAATAATTGCATTTATACATTCTATTTAGCCACTTTTGGAAGATTTCTTGTTTTTGGTAAATGGGGGAAGGGGGATACCTTTGCAGTTGCATTAGCTCTCACTTCAGGACTGCTACTGATGTCCACAGTCTCATAGACATGTTCGTACACCTGTAAAACCCAAAGTTATCACTGTGGTTAACTGCCAGAAAACACTACTACATGTGAGTTTTGATGTGAAGCAAACAAGAACAACAAAAAGCCCACTGCCATCAGGTCAAGTCGGACCCATAACCACCCCAGAGAACACAAGTGCCCCTTCCTTAAGGATGTTGAGTTTGTAAAGGTTCACGGGGGCAGCTGGTGGGGTCAATCCATCAGCCTGGTGGTTAGCAGTCCCACAGTTGACCAACAGTGCCACCAGGCCCTTTAAGGAGGCAAATGGATGGTAAAAATTTCAAGTTATGCAGCTTTATAAGGTTTTGTATCAGAAATCCCCAAAATGAAAGGAGTCCCAGTTCTAATAAAGATTATTTTATTGCCTTAAAAAATTCTAGGTCCAAATTCCAGAATATACCCTACCTAAACCTAGTTCAAGGTTTTAATATATATTTTTAAAGTTTTTAGTAAATTTTAATCTGGCTTACTTACCTCTCTTACAGCATTGCAAAACTCACTTTGAAGAACTCTCTGTAAAGCCTGAAGTTTCTGTGGGGGTACTTCTCCACTCCTTTGGAGTTTTTCCAGCAATTCAATTGCTCTACAAATATCTAAAGTTAAACGAACACGATACATCAGTTTCTCTCAGCAGCCTCAATGCATTTGTTAACAGTGTGGTGGCTAAGGGTCATTCCTCAAGGAGTAACAGGAAATCTATAAGATGGGTCAAGTGGGCATGTGTACATAGGGAAAGATGTGTGTCTAAGAAAGGTAGGAATATGAAAATTGAGAACAATGCTAAATTTTATAATGGACATGAGAGAAACACTCATGTCATGCAAGTATGAAATTTGGGAAATAAAACCTCTGAGAAGTGAAATCTCGAAAATAAACTACACAAGATGTCACAAGAAAGGACTGGGGCTGAAAGTGAGAGACACATGAAAATGTGCATCTTCAGAAAAGCCAACAGTATTATCAGTACTATGGAGTCAATGCAAATTTCCAAATCATCGTTCTTAGTAACCAAAGCACCAGACAGCACAAACACTGTATGCTAGTGAACTCATGGTTCTCCTCCCGAAGGGAAGCATGATACATACGTAGATATATAGTAGCAGAGGCATATTTGAAACAATAGTACAAATTTAAAAGATTACCTGATCTGCTTTCAACTTACTAATATGGTGTTTTAATCAAGACACGTTCTATGAAACGATATGCTTACAAAATAAAAAATATTTTTTGCAAGTCTGGTTTCAAAACTCGCTATGATCTTGGACATGTAATTTAAACTCCCTATGTAGCCTTTGCCTCCAGTGTAAAAGAGAAGCATGGTATCTGCCTCAATAGGTACAAGACAGCAGAATACACTATGCATGGAACAGAGCCTGGCATATTGCAAGCTTAAGTGCTATACTAGTATCAGCAAATCTTATAAATATAGTAAGCAAGGTAGGTAATTGTCAACGTGAACTATGAGGCTAAGTATCCATAATATTTGTGATTATGAGATTTCATGTTTCAGGGCCATGCCTTAGCAATATGACTATCTCTACTTTTAATTTTTTTCTTCTTTTTGTTTTTATACTATCAGCGACTACAATTTTACTATTGTACCCTACTATTCCTGTGCCTCCTTTGGGCTTAAATGGAAGAAGTTCTGAATTTCATGCTATATTGAAGGACTGGGACTTTTTCCGGGACTGGCCATTAGTTTGCATCTGGAAAACTAGCAATAAATGGAATGAATAAAGAAGTAGACTTCAACTTCAGGTGATGAAATTGTTGCTGTTCTGTGCTGCTCTGGAGTTGGCCATGACTCATGCATGGCAACCTGCTACGCAACAGAAAAGACTGCCCAGCTTGTGTCAGCTTTGTGCCTGTTGACCAATAAGTGCTTAAGCGCATGTCAGCCACATGCAATGGAAACCAATCTCTACTTTTGAGTTTTCACCACCAGGATGGCCATCAACTATTTTGGTTTATAACATTACAATATGTCATCTAAATTCCAATTAACAGCAACAAAAAAAGGGCAAGAAGTAAAATACTTTATTGGCCCTTAACTGTACCTATTTTGTGATTACATAATTCTAATTAATCATGTTTTGATGATTTAGAAGGCACTCAAGATCTTGATTAGGTGCACCAATTTTACACTGTAAAATTCAGAGAACGAACTGCTTGCTAATAAAGTCTGTTAAAATGAATTGTAAAACAAGAATCAAAACTGATGTAATTGACTTCTTATCCTATTAAATAGCTACCACTAGTAATCCATCCTTGTAGCATAGTGGTTATGGGTTGGCTGGGAATTGCAAGGTCAGTTGTTTGAAACCACCAACCACTTTGCTTCGAGGGCAAAAGGCTAGTCCCATAAAGAATTACAGTCTCAGTGGTGAGAGTGGCGATACGGAGAGGGTGGAAGGAGGGTGGGGTGGAAAGGAGGGAACCGATTACAAGGATCTACATATAACCTCGTTCCTGGGGGACAGACAACAGAAAAGTGGGTGAAGGGAGACGTCGGACAGCGTAAGATGTGACAAAATAATAATTTATAAATTATCAAGAGTTCATGAGGGAGTGGGGAACGGGGAGGGGGGGGGAAACGAGGAGCTGATGCCAGGGGCTTAAGTGGAGAGGAAATGTTTTGAGAATGATGAGGGCAATGAATGTACAAATGTGCTTTACACAATTGATGTATGTATGGATTGTGATAAAAGTTGTATGAGTCCCTAATAAAAAGATTTTAAAAAAAAGTAAAACAAAAAATTAAAATTAAAAAAAGAATTACGGTTTCGGAAACTCACAGGGGCAGTTCTACCTGTCCTACAGGGTCAGAGTCAGCAGCCACTGGAAGGCAGTGAGTGATCCATGCAAGTAGCACTCTTTTGCCCAAGTGAAGGAGCCCTGATGCCATAGGGGGTTACACACTGGGCTGCTAACCACAGGGTCAGCTGTTGACACCCACCAGTGGCTCCTTCTGGGACAGATGAGGCTTTCTGCTCCTCTCGAAACTGATAGCTTTAGGATCCCAAAGAGGCAGTTCTCCACTGCCCTGTAAGGGCACTAAGGGTCAGAATTGGCTCCAAGGCTGAGTTTGACTTGTGTAAAAGAAGGTTGGGAGAGACAAAAGCAAACAAATGATAAAACACAAAGCCATGGCTATGAAAGCTAAATGTCAGAGAGAAGTTCCACTTTAGTTTATGCTGCACTTAAAAACACAAAGGACTGCCAACAGGGTACAATCCTCCAACTAGCTTTCAGAGGACTACACCTACTCTTGTTAACACTGAACACATCCGATCCCAGTTACAAAGCACAGTGCCATTATACTCAGGAGGAAGATGTCAGCGTCTTAGGCTGAACTTAGCAAATCTTCCCAAAGTAGTTACTCCTTTGTCAAAAAATGATGGCTTAATTAATAGCTTGGTGTGCCAGAGAGCAACAATCTCATTTAAAGAGGGTTCTAACCATTGAACACCCTAAGGAACAAACTAACAATGTTAAGCATGCAGTTGCTGGTGTGTAGGAATGAAGAAAGGTTTCTGAAGTACAATTCTAAAAATGTTTTCCCGCTTTATAGTTATTTAGTGTTTGGACTATAATGGAAAATGTTAATATTTGCAAGATAATTTTAATTAACTTGGTGCCACCCAGGAAGTAAGACTCATAGTGACTCATGCTTCAAAGTAAAACTGCTTCATGGGGGTTTCTTGGCTGTAATCTTTCCAGAAAGAAGCTGAACGCCAGGCCTTTCTCTGCATTGCTGTTAAATGGATTTCAGTGGACAGCCTTCAGTTAAGTAGTCTTGTGCAGTCTGTGTACCGGAGGGGCCGACCTTGTGTACGCCAGTACTCCAATTTGTTCATTCTGTACTTCTTAATAATGCTTACCAGTGATTTCTAACATTGTGAGTCAAGGGCCTAGCTTAAATTGTTTGAAATTGAAAATCTGCAGCAGGGCTAGGAGTGTAGGAAGGAAGTTCACAAGCTTTTTGCTCTAAGGATTCTGCAGAGCAGGTTCTAGTCTCCTTAACACTTTCCACAAAAGACCAGCAATCCGCCACCCTAGAAATTCTCTAAACTACGGCTTAGGGAAGAGGAACACGACTTTACAACCCCCCACTGCTCCGCCTGGGTCACCCAGTTATGAAACGCCGGTCCAGGACCCGGTCAATAAAACACCTGCACCGCAGGTGGGAGGGGCCGGAGTGGGAGGCAACCCACCACTCGGAATGCAGGGACAAAACGTGTACCCAGGCACATCCCCGGGGTTCTGTGGGGACGCCGCGGGTACGGAGTGTGCGTGCACCGTGTGCGTGAGGCAAAGGCAGGGGTGCGCGCGCGCTTCCACCGAGGCCCTGTGCCAGCAGGGCCACGGAACCAGCGGTCCTGGGTACGCGGGGCGGGCTCTCCCGGCCGGGCTGTGCTGTCTGCTTTTCCGGCGGCACTCTCGGAGCGTCGCGTCGGCCGGGGGGCCCAGCCGGGGCTGGGGGGCCTGGGTCCAGGCAGGCGGACAGGCCGTGTGCGCCCGAGCGCTGCCCCGGGCCGCGCGCTGAGAGAGACGGCCAGCGCCGCCCCGGGGCCGGGCGTAGCGCGAGACCCGGCCTGGCTCCCAGGACTCGACCCCGGGCTGCCCTCCTCTCCCCCCGCGAGACGACCCCCTGCCTGCCCGCCGCCCGCCCCGGTCTGCCTTCGGCCGCACTCACCCCGCTCCAGTCGCACGGGCTCCCCGAGCGCCGCCATCTTCTCCCTCGGCCCACAGCCCCTCAGGAAATGACGACAGAAAGGTTGCTGCGTGGGGCGGGGCCTTCATGGAAGGGCGAGAGCCGGCCGTTATCGCGAGAGCGGGAAGGCTGCCGAGAGTTCCGGGCCGGCCGCTGCCGCGCTGCCTTGCGCCGCTGCTCTGGCCGCATGGAGGTTCTGGAAGATCCTGCCTTTCCGAGATCTGCCGAAGCCGGTGCTTTGACACCGCCTCCCGGGAGGGCCGCGCTTGATCAGACTCATGGGAACCTTAGCAAAGGGTCGCTGTGGGTCGGAACCGACTCGATGGGAACTCACCACAACTTTGGGACGCTTGGCCCCTCGTTCAAGAGTCAAGAGCCTGAATTCTAGCCCTTGTTTCACTCTGATCTCTCTCTCCGTACCCCTTTCCCTCTCCCTGCCCCTCTCTCCCTCTCCCCCTCTACCCCTCTCTCCCCTCTCCTCTCTCCCTCTCTCCCTCTCTCCCCTCTCCTTCCTTCCCTGACAACATGTCCAAAGTACTTGAGACCAAGTCTCGCCATCCTTGTTTCTAAGTGAGCAGAATGAATGAAATAATAGACAAAAAAAGAAAATGAATACTGATTCTCTGAGATAAACTGTATAAACAAAACTGATACACTTGATCTAGACTGATCAGAGAAAAAAGAGAAGCAATTACCAGTATCAGGAAAGAGGAGAATAGTACAAAATTATAAGACAACATGCTAATAGAATAGTAACAGCTTTATTTCAATAACTTGAGATAAAATGAGACGTTTCTTGAAGGGTACCTATTATCGAAGCTCATTCAAGAAGAAATAGACTCTAAACAGCCCTGTGTACCTATTAAAGAAATTTCGGTTGTGATTAAAAGCCCTCCTATGGGCACATACATATATACATCCAAATCTAGGCTCAGGTGACTTCACTGCCAAACCTTTTAGGACATAAATAATAATAATCTATACAACCTCCTGAAAACTGAAGAGGATGAAGTTCTTAGCTCATCCATCCTGTGAGCCATCCTGATACCCAAACCAGACAGATATTATAATCAAACATCAGACTGATACTGCGCATGAAAGAAAAAAGTAAAAATCCTTTAAAAAAGTAATCAAGCTGTGGTAGTTACATAATCTGTTGTCAATTTGAGACTTAAGAGTGAAGGGATGGAGTTTAGCCTGTTAATCAAGTCAAAGCTTGATGATCTCATTTGGAGCCACTAAGGAGATATATCTTGCTGGAGGTGGGACACTCACACACTTCCGGTGAGACATTCCTGTTGAGAAGACACACGGAGCTAAGCTAGAGCCCGGAACTGGAGGAGACACATGGAGAACTCTGCCAGCATTAAGATACTTCCACTGCCACTGGATCCACAAGACTGTCCACTCACTGGCCTGTGATCTTCCTGCATTCAACGTCATTGCATGTGTTGCATAAGTCTCAAGAGGACTTTATGGGTGAATATCGGACTTACGGCCTTATAAGGTGGCCAGATTTTAACATTGGTAAAGTGGGACAAAAGCAGGACACCATTGATAAAACTCATATCCTGGCAAAATAGCCACATGGCAGCTGAAAACCGTATACCCTAGCTTGTCATGCATTCTTTCCAAAAATCAGGACTTTTTAAAAATGCCGCGGGATGTGGGAAAAATTGTTAAAAATCGGGACTGTCCCACCAAAAGCAGGGCGTCTGGTCACCTTAGCCTAATAAGGAACTCATGGACTTGATTTGGAATGGGCTGAGATGTCTTATTGATGCATAATTGCTTCTTGATATAAAGGTATCTCATACACGTGAGTGTCTCTGGATTTCTCTTGTCTGCCCGGAGTAACGCACAAGCCAAATAATATATAAAAATAATAGCAGTGTAAAAAGTGAGACTTTTCTGTAGAAATACTGAAGTTTGCACACTGCTAAGAAATGGAGCTAGATAGTCTAAGGACAATCAAATTTGTCTTCCTAGTGTCTGGTAAGGGACCTGGTAGACGGTAGCTATATCATAAACATTTATTGAATATGTTTTTGACATTACAAGTGAATAGAAAAACATACGGATTATTGAGCCAAAATGGTTACGGTATGAAAAAAGAGAAGGCATTTTTCCATGACATGGAGCTGGGGCTGGAGCACTCAGTTTGAGGGTGGCCATAGTGGGGAGACTCAGGGAATTCTAGGCAAGAACAACATGAGTGAAAACTGGACGTAGGAATGCATATACCACCTCAACTGGAGTGGTGGTTGCACTGAGGGAGGGGGTGCCCTGAGGGCTAGCGTACAAAAGGCTTTAGCAATAGGAATAAAGGCAAGACCACTGAAAGCTTCTGAACAGAATACTCTGGTGATAAAATCCATGTTTAAAGAAAACGAGTGTCGTGGTGACATTCATTACGAATGCCCACTCTCTGAGTGGGCTCCACCCCAGGGTCATCGGGTTTCCAGGGCTGTCATCCTTACCAGAGCAGACGGCCACACCTTCCTCCCACAGAGGCTCCCTCTGGTGGCTCACAACTGCAGACCCTCCCATGAGCAGCTCCATTAGGAACCACTGGACCCTCAGGGCTGCTTTCATGATGGATCAGCCACTGCCACGTCTACTGTCACTGAATCACTTCCTGAGATTACATCTTCACAGGAGTAGACAGCTCGTCTTTCTCCTGTAGAGCTCCTGGCGAGTTTGAACCATTGAATTTATGGTGCGTAGCTCCATGTGTGGCCCATTACACCACCAGGGCTTGTAAAAATACTAGTAGAATCTACTCACCACTGCCAGCCATTCTATTCCCGACTCATGGTGACCCTATAGGACTGGGTAGAACTGTCTCATAAGGTTTTGAAGGCTGTAAATCTTTACATAAGCAGACTACCTTACATTTCTACTAAAGATGAATCAGAACAGTTACTAAATTAATATTTATTTTAATTGGGAAATAATCTCCTTGATTCAGGAAATTTTGAAAGTGATCCTAGGAATATGGACTGCATTAAGAATATTACTTATTGGCTTTGTGAAATTTTTTTGTATAAGATTTTGGGCTTGTGAAAAAAATTAGTACTTTGGAGTATACTGAAGGACCTTTACCCTAATGTTTCATGTAGAAATTATTGATTAATATCAATATCACAAGCAAGTAAAAGTTATTGAAGATAATTGAAACCAGCTATGGCAGTACATCTACAGCAGTGGTTCACAACCTTTTAATGCCGCGACCCTTTAATAGTTCGTTTTTGTTGCTACTTCATAACTGTAATTTTGCTACTGTTATGAATCATAATGTAAATATCTGATATGCAGGATGCATTTTCATTGTTACAAATTGAACATAAAGCATAGTGATTAATCACAAAAACAATATGTAATTATATATTGTGAAATATTTGTGTTTTCCCATGGTCTTGGGCAACCCCTGTGAAAGGGTCGTTCGACCCCCAAAGGGGTCGCAACCCACAGGTTGAGAACCACTGGTCTATAGGGAACTGCCAAAAATCTAAGCCAGACTCAGAAAAGGACAGGGAACAAGGGATATCCTTGTTAATGTCAGATCTTGACCAAAAGCAGAGAATAACAAAAAGGTGTTTCATTGACTAGGCAGAAGCAGTTGACATTGTGGTTCCTAACAAAGTACAGACAACATTGCAAATATATATATATATATATATGTGTATGTGTGTGTGTATGCATACATATACCAATTCCAGAACACTTCATCGTGCTCCTGAGGAACCTGTACATAAACCAAGTAGAGCCAGGGGAGACTGCATGGTTGACAGGACAGATTATCTTTCCATTCACCAATTCATACAAGTTTTGTTTCATGCTATTGATGGCAATCCCTGTAATGTAACCTTATTTATCCCACTTCCTCCCAGTGTTTCTGTTCCCTTTCTTCCTCCTTACCCAACCCTTCTGAACTTTATCCTGGAGGAAATACTGCCCCTTTGATCTCAAATGGTTGCATATTCAAAGGTGGAAATACTTGACTGGTGTTTTTGTTTTCACTTCACAAAAAACAACAACAGTAAAATAAAGAAATGAATAAAAAGATATTATAGGTTGCTTAAAGCAAAAACAGCAATAACTTACTGGGGTTTAACATAAAGCCAGGAGAGGGGGAAATGGACATCTACTGTTACAAAGTTCTTATGCATGAAATGGTAAATTAGATTGAATGTAGATTTCAATAAGTTAGAGATTATACTATAAAACCTAAAGAACTATGAGAAACGGAGAATAAGCCACTAAAGGAGAAAATGGGATCATAAAAATACTCACTTGATAAAAAACGATGTAAAAAAGGTTGATCGAATAATTATTCTTTTTATTTTTTATTTTTCTACTTATTTTTAATGCATGTTTCTTTTATTGCTGGGTGCCCGTGAGTGGATCACAGCTCATAGGGATCCTATGGTGCAGAGTGGAGCTGCACGTAGGCTCTCCAGGAGTGTTTACGGCAGTAAATTTCTTGATCTTGCTTCCTGGAACCTGGTGGATTTGTGCAGCTGACATATGGTTACTAGCCAAGTGCTTCAGAATACGTGTTGTTAGGCGCCATCAAATTGGCTCGGGCTCCCAGGGAAACCGAGTGAAACACTGCCTGCTCCGGCGCCATCCTCACAATTGTTTTATGCTTGAACTCATGGTTGCAGCCACTGTGTCCCTTCATCTAGTTAAGGGTCTCCCTCTTTTTCACTGCTCCTCACTGTGCCAAGCACGATGCCCTTCCCTGCAGACCAGTCTCGCCTACGACATCTCGAAGTACAGGAGACCGAGTCTCGCTACCCTTGCTTCTCCGGTGCATTCTGGATGTCCTTCCCCCAAGACAGATGTGCGTGTCCTTTTGGCAGTCCGTGGTACTTTCAATATTCTTTGCAAGCATCATAGTTCAAGTGCATCCATTCTTCGTCAGTCTTCCTTGTTCAATGGCCAACTGTCACAGGCATATGAGGCGACTCCAAATACTATGGCTTGGGTCAGGTGCATCTTGGTCTTCAAAATAACTTCCTTGCTTTTCAATACTTTAAAGAGACC